TATCCTATAATGAAATATGTCGAATTAGTTTATTCTTATGGATGGTATGTGGTCATGAATTGTATTTATAAGTCGTTATATTAGCGGCACTTCTATTATATACAAAAACTATATGACACTATTGAAATAATGTGATTTTAGTTAATCATTATCTTATGTCCAGTCTCATTCTATAACTCTTAATAATTATTACATTACATCCTCGTTTTAAAAGCATTGAGCAATCTCGATCAAAGCATTCAAAAGTATAATAGCAATGGTCGTCACTTCTAAGAGTGTTTCAAGTATAACAAACGCACTCATAAACGACCATAAATTATATTATGTTGACGTCTTATACGACTCAGTATTACGATCGTTTACAGGCGTGAACGTAGCTATTTACGGAATTCGTATACAAAGACCATATACAACTTCCTTTTTAACTCAGAACTGCTCTGTAAACGATACGAAGAAATGTGATCGTAATATTGAGTCATGCCATACACCAAACTACAGTTATATACAGTGAAATTCCTAGTGGACACGGTCATTTCATAATTTATAATGATTTTGTATTAATCATCCTGTGGTACTATTCCACGATTAATTTGAATCCAAATGTGTGATACCCTTTCTTGTCATCAAACCAAGTCATATGTCTCATAGCTACCATATGGTTATATGGACCATAAATATCATAGGATTATTTGGGTCATTTAGTTATTATATGGTAACTATGTTTCAGACAGACGGACAGATTCAGGTATATTTCCGTTTCTGGATCCTATCCTTTTAGTTTGGGAAATATCTATGTTTATTAACTGTTTTTTCTCAGAAAGTGTCAGATAACAGAACGAAATATGATTTACTGACTGTTTAAATGTTTTGATTTTTAGAAAAATGAATTCGAAATGCCTTATTTAGTTGAGAAAGTTGAAAACAAAGAAAAACTCATGTCAAAGCGATAATTATATTCTTTGTTCTACCCTCAATTTGTCAGATGATTGATATTTGGTCGTTTTCCTTCAATTTAGTCGTTCCTGTCCATCACTACTTATTTGATGAAACAACATAGATGTCGTTCTTTCGCTTAAACAAAGATGGCTGTTGAATGTTATAGTATAATAACTCAGCTAAACTATGTACAATACAATCATTTATAAATCAGGAGTACAAGTTGTCACATTATTTAGTCAGTTTAGACAAGATAGTACGAAAGAATCAGATTCGTATCGATGAGAATCATTTTTCACATCTGTTCTTCTTGATCACTTTGCTACATTCGTGTTAGATAAAATCTTGTAATCTAGCATAATGAGTTGAAAACTTCTACTAGGAATATGTGAAAACAATAAAATCATGATAAGAAGATAGTCTTGAAATGGCTATTAGAAATATCAGCGATTTGTAATATACTAAAAGTGATATCTAATTTTGCGTTCTCGGATGGTTTCTCAAGCCACAATACAATAATTCGTAAAACCGAGATTTTAGATGATGAAATTGCTTCTGACATACACCATTGTTCTTATGCATTCTGTTTTTGCAAATGTAAACGACTGTGTAAAGATGAAGGAGGTGTCGTGTTCTGCTGTGGGCATGATATTTTAACAAAGTTTGTTTTAAGTCTCTATGTATTACGCAAGTAGTACATGTGGGCAAAATTAAATTACTTTGTACTCGCCGCGATGCTCCTCCTTCGAAAGGCATTTCAACAGAATTTGATGAAAAGTTCAAGTAAGAATGATTATTGCAGGTCAGTTTCATAGAGTCAAGTTTCCTTACAACTACTTGAAAAACAGTGTTGAATTCAATGGTGATCTTTGATTAAATCTCTTAGATGTCTAAAACGGCACCAATCTTTGGGATCTTCATAGAACCGCTATTTTCATCGGTAGATAAAAACCGCGGTGATCGTCAGTGATCGTAATCCGTGCATAATCACGTTCTTGAAATACCGAGGTTTCGGGTAGTTTTTCAACACTGAATAAATGAACTGACTATTGCAGTTTCAACGACCGCTTTTTATTCCGAGTTTTTGGAAATTCTTTTTCTTGAGTAATTCTAAACAATTGATTGATGGTGAAAATCCATACGTATTTGATATATCAATTATATTACCAACAATAGCCTTTCAAATAATTTTAACAAATATGATCTGAAAAATAATTGTATTAAGTGAATATTTAATTCGATAGAAAAATAAAATAAAATAGTTTATTATCACGTTCAAGTATTTCTTGGTAAAATAAAATTTACTCGTTTGACTGAAAATAATCTGTTCATGTTTCCTATTATATTTTCTATTAAACCTCTGATGAAAATATCATTTCAATTGTCTTTTACTCTAGTCAAGAGTACTATTGTGTACTTGATCGAGAATGGAAAAGAATGCCGCTAAATGAGAAAAATTTTCTTTTTCTGAAAGATAAACGAACATTTCTCTAGTCGACTGATTAAATAAGCATGACTATAGAGACAGAAATCAAATTTTATTGAATCTTAGTGTGTTCATATTTATACCGAATAAATATAAAATAGATCGAACTATCAAAGATAAACACATTGATGTTACCTCGATTAAAGCAAATTATTATCTTTTCCCATTTTGTGACTTTTTTTTAGACATTCACACCTAGTCTTAAATCTCTTATTTAATATAAAATAAAATAACTAAAGAAGGATTTTTTGCATTTTCAATATGTTATTTTATTTTATACATTATCAACAAAAGAGGTAAACTTTGGTAAAAAATGATATTCTCACTTTTATTAAAATTGATACAATGAGAAGGCATGAAGTCGAAATATGGAAAGTATCGAAAAATATGAGAGCATATTCTTCTTTTCGACGAAATTACTCTAGAAATTTTTGAGAGCGTACTATTAACAAAAATTTATTGACAAACTAAAAAGAATAACACGTCGGAAAATGTGTAAAAATTGTCATAGAACTGTTTTTATTAGTTTACTACGAAATTTACTAAGTATTCAAATCTAATTGTGTATCTACATGCTATTTCCTATGGCAAAGAAGATACAATAGTAGATATTATCAAATTAACAATCAAACATGATCAATTTGTGCTCATTTAATACGAACATATACATTTTGAGTAGATATTTTAGATTAAAGAAGAGTGGATGGAAATTTGTTGTAGTCGAAGTAGTAGTATCAACAAGTTTTATCTTTGATAGTTCGATCTATTTTATATTTATTCAGTACAAATATGAACAAACTAATTTTCAATAAAATTCTATTCTTATCTCTATAGTCACGCGTATTCAAAAGGATTAATTAATTATTTAATCAGTCGACTAGAGAAATGTTCGTTATCTTTGGGAAAGAAAATACTGACTTATCTACAATCTATAGGACGTGAAATAACATAAAAATATTTTAAAATAGTTTTCAATTAATTTTAATATCTGTTTCATCATTCAAAATGCACTTTTTTTTATTCGTGTTTCTCATATAAAATTGATAAACTTAAAAAAATTCTTTTCATTTTTTAAACTTCATGGGTTTAAAAGATTTATCTTTGATAGAGTTGTTTAATTCGACTCAATTAATATCTTAAATGATAGAAACATATTTCTCTAAATTATTTGAAAATGATCCTCTGAAAATTGAGATTTTCTTGAGAAAGAATGTTAAATTTGAAATCATTTAGAAAAAACAAAGGAAATAATCTATTTAAACTTACTTAGCACTTTCGTATCTAAATCTCCAATTTCTTTGATTATCAACACAAGTTAAATAAGTTAATTTATCTAAATAAGTTCTTCTTGTCGATAATTGAAGGACTTTTAAAAATCGAGCTAAATTTGAAAGTATTCCAATTTTAACTTCATCAACATCACGAAAAAAAGAATCAAATATTGGACATAAATCTTCTTCGACTTGTTCTACAGTTAGAATTTCTGCAAGGGCATGTAAAGAATATGCTAATGGACGACGAACTTTCCACTAAAATTCAATAAAATAAAATTATTTTTCCTTTTTTTTTTTTTGTAAATAAAAACACCGACTTGTACATCTTCAGCAAATTTTCTATGTAAATCTCTAATAAGATGCCAATTTTTGTTGGTAAGTGTTAATGCAACAGCAGGGAATGTATGTGCACCTTGATGTACAATATCAGTTTCTACACCACTTGAATGAGATTGTTCAATTAAACTTGTATAAAAATCTAATAATTCAATTGGAAGAATATTCTATTCATTTAAGATAAATTAGTTTTCGTTTTAAATTTTTTTTAAATAAATAATATTTACATGAATATCATCTGCATCATAAGTTCTTGATACTTCAAGAAGTGATTGTTTACGTGTTGCTGAAGCTAAAAAAAATAAAGAAAAATACAAAATTTTAAATAAATTTAAGATAAAATAAAATAACATTGATTGGAATTTTCAATAAATTCTTGATCAAAATCAACATTTGTTAATAGTGGTCCTCGCCAATAATTAAAATCATTAAATTGATCTTCTTCATTTATTTTAATAGATTTTTCGACTTGAATAGATAGATCATCTATTTGTTCGTCATCTATTTTTGTTGAATTTGATTTCTTATCTTCATTGGATTGAGCAAATGTTGAAATAAAATAACCAAGAACACGAAGAGCTGCTGTTTTAACCCAACGTGATTGATCTTGTAAAAGTTGAATTAAACATGGGGATAAAATATTCCAACGGGATTCTTTTGAACAAACTTGAGCTACTGGATGAATTACCTCAGCACAACTTTTTCGAACACCCCAAAATGGATCGGAACATAAATTTGATATACAAGGTACCTAAAAAATATTTTATTCATTAGTTGCCTGATTTTTATAATATGATTTATAAAATATCTCGTAAGTAAATGTAACGAACTATCATTTTTTTGTTCTTTTTTGCGTTGAAAAAATAATTTTCTTATGAAAATGTAAATAGACAATTGATTTAATAATAAAGAAAAAACATCTAATCGACTTTTAATTTAAATCTTATTTTGAATAAATTCTATTAATTAAATATATGAAAACAATAATTATATTGATTATCAATTCGTATAAACAAATACTTAATCAATTGTTTTCATTATCAATTTAAAAAGAATATTTTCTTTTTTCTTATAAAAAGAAAAATATTTATTAAAAAAAAAACAAAAGAAAATTACAAGATATTGATCGACTGCTGCTGATGGAATAACTGTTGCTAAATCTCCAATCGATGTAGCACATGTCTATCGAATAAATATTATTTAACTTATTATTATGATAAATATTAAAAAAACCTTTCTTGTTTGAAATGCAATTGATGACGATTGTTGAACTATTGTTGGTACAAAATATTTTAATACTAATTCACTTGATATATATTGTGTTAAACGTGTCATTAACTAAAAGAGAAGGTTTTCATCGAAATTAATTTCAAATTTTTCTTTTATTTTAACATATATAAAGGTAACATAGTAAAATATTTAGAAAAATTGCCTTTAAATATTTGTCAAATTGATTCCAGCAAAGCAGGCTGTGATATGATTTAATTAAATTCAACATAAACACAACCATTTTCTGGAATGAATTTAATTGGCAAATAAACAAAAAGATTTTAAATTGGATAAAAAAAAAAACGAAAATTTGATATAAAAGAAAAGACATTCTTTGGAAAGACAGAATAGTAAGATGATTAACTAATACAAAACATCTCACTACCCATGTCTTTCATAGAATATCTTTCAAATAAATTAATTCTAAATTAAATAAACCAATACCTACAAGAATTGATTCATTTTTAAAATCATCACAAGCTCGATCTAATTGACATAATGCTGGAATTATATCACGTTCAATTTCATCACTTCTTATTTGCTCCATTTCAAATAAACGAATTAGTGCTGATTGACTTGCTTTACGAATCTATTTTTTACAAAATACAAAAAAAAAAATTCTTCTATATTTAAATAAATTCAAAAAATCTGAAATAACTCGATTATTTGAATGTCCAATTGTTTGTATAATTGATTGGAATAAATATTCTTTTATAAGTAAATCACCATTTTCAACATTTCCAATTAAATATTCGATAATTGAAACAAATTTCTCTAATGTATCGATTTGAACTTGTGTGACTAAAGAAAAAAATAATTTTTTTTTTATTTAAAATAAAAAAAATAAAATGTCAAACCAATATCATCAGCTAATTTTTTAGTACATGACAATATTTCATATAAACTTTCAAGATCATTAACTAATCGAAGTGCATCTAATATATATTTGACTGCATTTTTTCTGAATTAATAAAAATCAATTTAAAACAATTCAACCAAATAATTTAATAACCTTTCATTATAATTTGAATGTGAGGCATGAAGTCGGACAAGACGTTGAAATGGTGTTTCACCACTTTCATCCGAATCGTCATCAACATTTATATTTATCGAATCTTTAGAAAAAGCAAAAAAGAAAAGTAATCAAACTAAAAAAGAATTCTAAATAAATTACCATTATTAGTCGTCGAATCAAGAATGTCGACTATGTCTGACATAGGTTTTATTAGTAAAGATAAACCAAGAAAAAAAAACACGGAAATGAACGAACGATTGAAGACAAGAAAACGATATTCAATTCGACAGCCATTATTTAACCTTGACCTCGTCCTCCTTCATTTATTTATTAACCAATTGAATCAATTACCTTTAACATATGCTTTCTTTTTTTTCTCTTTATTCAAAAATTAATTAATTTATTCAACTATTTATCGTCGTTTTATTATTATCAAGAAATCGTTAATATATATAAATAATTATTATATATATATATAGATCGAAGGGATTATGATCATTTGCATTTTTATCAACACAAATCAACAATATCATTTCATTCGAATATTCTGAAACAAATAAAATAAAATAAGAAATATTCAAATCAAAACAAAATAAGAATCAATTAAAAATCTCTCTAATAGACACTGGCGACATCACTTCCTTTTATTAATAGTCATCGAGCATTAGTTTAAAAAATCGTGCACGTCGCTTTATGTAGCAGAGAGAGAGAGATCATGCATGAGCGAGAAACAACAAAGAGGAAATAGTCTTGCAATAGAACAATGAGAAATAGTTACAAGGTCAGCATGCGAACACACAAATATAGCGACGAGGACATCGTACATGAAGTGAAGCGTATCGGCCAACAGTCGTTACAGAGCCGGATCCCGCCGTTTCCAAAACCGCACTCTACCGTTGATACAACCCGAATACTGCACAGTCGCTCACAGACTCAGCTTCTGAGACACTAACGAATCATCTCCTTATATCGCGAGATTCAAAGAAAGATCATCGCCGAAGTGAGTAAACAGTACACAATGAAAATCGAGCATTTCTTATTATTTTCGTGGTTAAAAATGTTCACCTTTCCAGTATGACCTGATTCGCCGTTTTGCACATGCTCTTCTCTTGCCAGAATTCTGTAGGCCATCTTTGCGTATCTTTTGATACAAATATAATCAAGTATTGTAGTGAGTATAAATGTTTAAGACAAAAAGTGAGCATATCTGGTTATTTTCATGATTAAAATGCTAATTTTTGTAGTATAAAAATGTGCCCATTTCTCGACAAACATCTCACTTTTCAGACTTGTAGAAATCGCAATTGCTCATCCTTTGATGCAGATTTGCTGGATCGTTTTGTGCAGAGTAGATACCTGTTCCTACGTAGTCATCGTTGTGACATGATGTAATACGTGCTCGTTCGCATTATCTATGAATTGGTTACGCTACATTCGTACCGTTTCAACTTGGTTTCCGAGAGATCTGGTCCTCATTTCGCTGAGTTTCTCGCGGTTTCTTGAAGTTTTCCTGTGGGATCCTGGTCGATCCAAGTATGTATGTGGCGTTGATGTTGTTTGAATAAATCATTGTTTGCAGCATTGTGACTTTGCTGTCTGTGAAAATTCTTCCAAGTTCATAGATTTCTCTATTAGATTCTTGTGAGAAATCGATCGAATGCTGCATGAAATGAAGCAGGTTCTATAGAGAGTCCGTCGCGAAGTATTCGGGTATCGCTGGATTCTACCGGAATCGAATGTAGAAATCAAAGATTTCTCGATGGATACGATGTGTTCCGTGGTGTTTTCGGTTGGATGTTTCTCTTGTTCTGTCGAGTCTTCTGCCGTTTTCTTTTTTTGCAGAGGCATTTGGCCGGATCCTGTCGATTTCCGGTTTCAGAATAATGTGGAAAAATAATTGTTTCTACTACAATACTTTTTCAGTCCGGAATACTGTCTTCAAGTTCCTCGTGTACTCCGACCGGATCCTGCTGGAAGTTCAGCGAATTTTCCCAGAAACATGCTGGAAAAGCCGGAATCCAAGATCGGAATCAATGATCTGAGCCAATAAACAATGAAAAAATCATTGATCAATGAATTAATAAAGAAATAGTGTGAAAAATATCGATTTTAATCAAAAAATATGAAAGAAAATTGTTTTATTTTTTACCGAGTTGGACAAAAGCTGTACAATTGTCCATTTCAAAATGAAAGGCAGGTTGCCATTTTTTGAATAACTTTCGTTGAATACAAGATATAGACCTGCGGTTTTGGTCGCTCGAAAGAATGATGTCCAGGTCATCGGTTGGTATTGAATTTATTAAGATGAACGATGCTTTTTATTGGTGCTTTTGGATCAACACTTTCTCTTTGAGTATTTTCATCTGTTTTCATAATAACCTCAACTCAAATTATGTTAAAATATAGCTGAAATCACACTTTTTTGGTATAAAATTATCACATATTTCAGTATCTCTCAACTTCTTATTCTAAGCGGATTTTCGAAAACAAATTTTAATTTTATACGAAAAAAAAGTGACTTGAGCTACACTTAGATATAATTTGAGTTGAATTTATCCTGAAAACTGATCAAAATACGGAAAGAAAAATTGTTGATTCAAAAGCATCTATAAAAAAGTATCTTTCATTTTAACGAGTTCTCTACCGATCTATGACTTGGACATCGCTTTTTCAAACGGTGAAAGCTGCAGATCTACATGTNACGAATACAAATAAAAATGAAAACGAACAAGAAGTATTTGAAGTTGATAATCAGAGTGATGATTATCAAACCTCAAAAGGTAAAAGAAGCAGAATAAACAACAATAATAATAATGTTAGGCTGTTTTACCTTTTGTAATTCGCAGAAAAGTGTTTTCCCAAATGCAATTCTTTCGCTGAAAAGCCTTTCGCTGATTTGCATCAATATTCTTTATATGATAAGTGACTGTCAAATGCTTGGCAAATATCTAAAATAAACAAATCATAATAAATTGTTTATTTAAACGGACAGGATCAATTGATAAACTCTTTCTGGGATTATTCACCTTAAAAACAAGATCACTTCTATAATTCGAATATATTTCTTATCAATTTTCATTTATTATTGAACATTTCTAATGTATTTTTCTAGAATTCCTTTTTTTTTACCTAACTGATTGATTCAATTCTGTTGATTTAAAAGTTCGACTAAAATCTTGATAATCATGTTATAGATGATTATCTCTTGTTCAGATTGTCTTTATGTGTAGAAATTGAATTCGATAAGTAAAATGCGAAGAATATCAATAATTAATTGTTAACTTTGTCAACTCGAACAAAATTTGAGTCTGATTAAAATTTATTTTTAATATAGGACTTGACAAGATAATTATCAATGAGGATTGCTTATCTATCGAATAGAGATCAATATTTACCTTTTGGTTTTATTCCTTTTATAGAAATATTTCGTCCAATTTCTATAGTCAATGATTGAGATAAACTAATAATTTAATTATAATTGAATGGAAACAAGACAAAGACTACTATTTAGCGAAAATTTCGTCTATTTCGTTCAAGTATCTGTTATTAGAGTCAAGAATAGAAAAAACTATATATATATTATTGTTGATTTATTATTTAACATCGAAATGGTTTGAAGATGTTTTAATTAATTAAATAAAAATTTGATCAATCTCAATCAAATATTGTACAAATATGCTAGAAAAAATTACAAAATATTATTTTTAAAATATTTCAATTTATTGATTAATATAATAATTGTTATTCATCGAAATAAATTAAGTTCATTCTATAAGACTGATTTATATTATTTATTAGAATTCGAGTGATAGAAAAAAAAACGAAGACCTAAGTACAATGCTTTAAAGAAAAAGAAGAAAATCAATTAAAATTATTTCAAGATAAACGACATAAAAGAAGAAAAATTTGACACTGAAGAATTAATTTAAAAAAGACCTTTCTTCAGAGGTTTCCTAAAAAGAAAGAAAAGAAACAGAGTTTTTTAAAATAAAATAATATTTGAAATAAATAAAATGTTACGATAGAGATATATTTTGATCATTAAATGAAGGTTTATTTAAATTCTCTTCCCATTGACGTCGAATATTTTCAAATTCAAGACGTTTTCGTTCGATTTTTTCTTCTTCTTGTTGAATATTTAATCGAAATGTTTCTTGAGTTCTTAAAAGCTATTAAACAAAAAATAAAACAAATATATATTTATAGTGAAACTAGATCAAAATAAATAGCTAAACATTTTGTTTGTTTTCTTCAAGTTTTTGTAATTTTTCTTCAACTTTTGATTGATAAACATTTTCCATATCTCGAGACATTTTATCTAATCTTTCTTCTGTTTCCATTCTTTCATCGTCGATTTGTGATAATAAATTTCTAGAAAAAATAAATGTTTAATTTAATTTAATAAATAAATTCTAATCGAACTTATTAATTGAAGTTGTTTGTAATGTTTTTCCATTTTTTGATTCATTTCCATGAAAAGAACTCAATTTTTTATAACGATAATTTTCATAATGAATATTATGTGTTACATCACGTAAATCATTCAAATTTGTTTTTATAATCATACTTCTCAATGCAATAAAATCACTATGAGCTTCATCTTCAACTATAAAAGAGAAAAAGATTATTAAAAATGTTTTAATTAAAAAAAATAAAAAAAAAAAACAAACCATCAACAGTTCCCCAAGCATATTGTCTTATTCTTGTACGCTTATTTGCACGTTCTAAAACAAAATTACTTCCAACCACGGCAAATGGAACTTTATCTTTATAAATTTTATTTAATTTATTTTCATCACTATTATTATAATCGGGAAATTCATAAAGTTTGATTTTTTCATTGGTTATATCTTGCATTATAGATTTTTTAAATAAACGTAATTCCTCTGATGTTAATGTATCTGATTTAGCTATAACAGGTATTATATTAACACGATCATGAAGACGTTTCATAAATTCAATATCTAATGATTGAAGACTAAAATAAAAAAAGTTATTTATTTCTTGTATTATATTTATATAAATAAAAAAAATCAAACCTATGACCAGTTGGTGTTATAAAATAAAGACAACAATGAATACGATTATCAACAATATGTGTTTTACGAATAACTCGAGATTCAGCATTTAAATATTCTTCATATTTTGAATCAATATAATCAATAATTGGTTGCCAACTAAAATACTTTAAATTATAATAAA